TCTTTTGTCATCCCAAAGTTCAAAGGAGACACTTGATCTTCTACAGTGTACCAAACACAATTGATTTTTGTTATCTCATCAAGAAGAGTAGATGCTATATCAAACGGTTGTTGCATGATTCTTCTTCGAATGATTTGGTCTGCCACACCCTTGTTGACCTAATCTAGGCTCCCGTAGAAATATTGTTGCAACTCATGGTTCAGGATTCCATGAATTGAACATTAAGTCTAACCCCCAATACCCTTTGATTCAAGAAAGTTGGCCAACTTAGGGAGACCTACGGATGGGGTTCACGCACCGTAGGTCCTCAAATCTTGCTCGGTAGCATTAATAGGGGGTTCTTGAGGTTCAGCTTCCCTCCTTATATCTTCTAGAGATAGAGGTGTCGGGGAAGTCTATGATAGTAACTCATTTTGTGCCTCACCTTGAACAACTTGACTAGGTGGTGGTTGGCTGGTCCCTTCTTGGGCAGCCACATCTACTCGCTTACCAGTACTTTTAATCCTTCTCGTAACCGGCATCCTTGCTATAATAAAACAATTTAGAAATAATATATGATTTGCCTACAACACTGGTTCTATCTCACGATCTAAGAAATGAAAGAAATGAGACAACTCCTACATGTCCCATAGCCTGCTGTTTATAAATGTGGTGTACAACACATCCATAAGCAAGACTCTACACAGACACGGCTTTGTAGACTCCCTAGGATGACCTACTCTGATACCACTTTTGTCACGCCTCAAATCCCATTAAGACGGACAGGCACCCGATGCCCTAAAGGCCCGAGAGAACTAGCACGTAACTTGTACTTACAATGCATATAACTATGACAATCTTGTGACAAGTTCACATAGGATGCAACGCTACGAACCAACATAAGTAGATCCACAACTTATATACAAGACTTGGCCGTTGAGGCCACAACCTGTTAAGACACAACTAAACCATATACATAAGTCTACAAAGCCTCTAAAGATAGAAAACCTTAGAGTAGGTCAAGACAGACCCCGCCTTACCCATAACTATGATACAATACCAAAATGAATCTACCAAGGACTCAGTAAAGCTCCGAATCAACCTGGAGCTCACCAAAAGTAGCTGGGTGTCGTATGCTCCTATTAAAGAGGTCTACCAGCTGGAGTACCTGCAGCATGGAATGCAGCGGCCCCCGCGAGGAACGTCAGTACGAAAAAATGTACTGAATATGTAAGGCAATAATATATATAAAATAAGAGTTCTAATGAAACCAAGTATCAATATATGTGTGCATAAATCAGAACAGAAGACCACATTTGTTAACTCTTGTGGGATCGTGTATGTTACATTCTTGTCTTTACCTTTCTGTGTGTTATGATCTTTATAAGGCATGTGATACGAATGACCAGCTGATCAGTGGTAGAAGAGGAAGACCCATGCTAGGCATTTTAACCCCTGGGATGCGGTCCTCATAATTACACAAATTGGGATCGGCCCATGCTAGGCTTTCGCCCCTGAGTTGCCACCCTTCTATACCAATTGGGATCGGCCTATGCTAGGCTTTCGCCCCTGAGCTGCCACCCTTAATTATACAAATTGCTTCACTTTGATTCTTTAATCTTTGAGATTGTTATTTTGGTGGTCATAATCACTTCTGATATTTGGAACTCCGGACCAGTAGTAGAAGACATGAAAACATACTTCAAGGCAGTAACAATGACATAAGGAACTATGTAACATCAATGCATTACTTGTGAGCTTAAATGACATAATTGACTTCAACTGACTAAGAGGAGGATTCTCCAAACTTGCTTTTACAAATACCATTTCTATACCAGCACATAGGAGGATAATTACACAAGTATAGAGTAGTAAACATATAATGAAGCAATTTTATACACTAAGGAGAGGGGGGAATATTGTTAGCTATTTGGAGATCGTACGCTGCCACTATGTTTCCTTTACTAGGAATAGAACTTGGGAAATTCACTTATTGATATTAATCGCAAGTATCAAATTTCATGCCAAGGAATATGGAATCGAATAGCCCTACATACCTTATTTCCTGACCAATACAACTGTCACGAGTCAGCCTCCCGTCTTGGGTGCTAATCTACAATATAAGTCATGATTAAGTTGATGTTAGCAGCTAACCACATTAAGGCCCTCAAAAAAACAGTAGCTAAACACTTGATGGAAAGTAGGCCCATACAACCCTTACACAAATGGTGAACCACCACACCCTTCTTCTATACATCAATACAACTTCATACATCATTTGCCAAGATACCGAAACTGCCCCCAACAACAATTTACATAAGGCAGCCACTATCAATCCCTAAAAATCTTTTAGCATAATAGGAGAATATTGATTCAAGGATTTATCACCATCCATTAGTTCTTGATAGATATATACAAAATTCTCCACCCCAAACCTGTATTTAAAGAGAGGCAAGAATAGGCAGTAATCTTACCTTAGTTTCTGAAATTTATCCTTTAAACTTGTACTTCAAGATCTGAAACTCTCCTTCAAACTTTTACTTGAAAAGGGGGACAATACTCAAAAATCCCAAGGTGTTTTAGGACTGTTGATTTAAGCCAAGAGAGAAACTTAAGAAATCTGAAATTTTGCAAGTTAAAAATGGAGCAAAAGATCTGATTTTTATCCCTTTAAAAGGGAGGTGTAATGGCCGCCTTTCTTGGCCAATTTTGGGCCATATATTGTCAAGTAGGTGACCTACCTACTTTGCCTTTTAACTTGAGCCTTTGGGGACTCTTGTTGGGCCTTACTGCCAATTATCCCTCTATTCTTGTCAATTTGGGCCATAATTAATGCAAGTAGGTGATCCACCTACTTGGACTTTTCACTTGGGCCTTTTTGGACTTAAGACTATTGGGCGTTGCTATCCATTTTCCCGTTATTCTTCTACTCAACTTGGGCCAGATTAATGCAAGTAGGTGGTAGTGCACTTGGCCCAATTACATGGTCAAAAAAGAGTCTTAGTAGGTGATGCACCTACTTGGTCCTTTGGGCTGGTCAATAAGTCAAAGTAGGTGATGCAGTCACCTACTAGCTTAATTAAGTCAAGCAAGCAGCTCGATTATTTTATTTCATTTTATAAATATTAATCCCTTTTGCTTTAACTTAGCACTTAACTTTCAACTTTAAGCTCAATTACCACCTTTCTGTCTCGAGTTTAAATACTCCCGTTAGAGTTAACTTGCAGTACACATGCTGAAACGTGCAAGGCATCACATCACCTTCAGATCTAGTTTAAACCAACGCTAATCATATAAGAAACATGGTCCTTCACCTATACTATAAGGCTATGTCAAGTATCACAAGAATAGAACAAGCATATGCATAATACGGGTTGTTACACATCCACCCTCCAAGAAAAAAGAACATTTTGTATTAAACTGAATAAAACTAAAAGTACAGTAAATTAATTGAAAATGGAGGAATACCTATTAAATCTAGTTTAAACTCTTCAAATAAGTTTTTGATCAAATCATTTTTCTTTAACAGTTTGAGACTTTGCACAGCTTGAACACCAAATTGTAGTTTTTGCAACATAATATTATTGAACTTCTTGTCAAACAGAAGTTGCTGCAAAAGTATATTTGTGACTATGAAAATGAGTATACATTAATTATCTAGATAGTCTTCTCGTTTGAAGTTGAGTATTTCTATTCTCCTTGTTGCATCAATTATTGTTGATCTATCTAGTTTACCCAGAAAAAAATATTGTAATTGCATAATTCAACAACTCTCACAATCTTCCTTGTTTTAAGAAGAAGAGCAGAAAGCTTGCAAAGCTTATAGTTTAAAAGTTTGAGAAACCCTCTCTATTTATAGACAACAAAGGATTGTATGAAAAGGTGATTATCGTGTCTTATCATATAAGTCACAATCCTTCAGAAAAGTACTTTTCGGAAATGTCATAACTCATCGAGAAAGTCACAACCTTTTGAAAAAGTTACTAACCATCAATGTGAAAAGGTGTAGCTTTTAATATAATATAGAACAAATAAATATAATATAAAATATAGAATGATACATTGGGTTTTTTAAGTTGGAATATTATAGTAATTTAACATTCAAGTTAGGGAGTATTTTTTTTTTCTATATGTATATTGAAATAAATAATGGTGTACATTGTTGTGTATATAGGATATAATGTTGATTTAAACTATCAATTTGGTGTAACAAATCGTTAGTACCAAATATATATTACGGTGTGCATGTAAATAGTTTGTGGTATTGGTAAATAGATATTTGTAATACAGCAAGTATATTGAAATAAAAAAGAGTAGAGTATACATTGTGGTACATATAAGATATAATGTTGCTGTAAATTATTGTTATGGTGTAACTTTCAACATCATACTATCAACATATTCACAACTGAATAGACCATTTAATTTATTAATAGACAAGTAAGCACAAAAGTTACCAACACAATAATTCACTACTACCTCTTTCGCTTTTCCCTTCCTTTTTGTCTATTTGGGTGTAAACATTAGGAGGGTTTTTAGCAACTTTTATTACTCATCGGAGATGGAGGGAGTATACATTCAGCTTGATAAAACAACGGGGATATTAGAATGACTATAACACTCCTTAAATCTCGGGCTCATTATACAAGTTTATAAAATCAAATAAGCAAACTTTAAAATCACAAATTTGAAATCATAGTTATTAAAGAGGAGAAGAAACCAACATTCTTACAAAAGAACAGTGGAGTATTGTTAACTCTAAAGAAAATGGATCTATAACATTGAATATTGATATTTTTTTTACCTAAAAAAAGTACCCTACCACGTCTGCGAATCCAAAAAGTAAAATATCAAGTTACCAATCCCTAAAAATCAGCCCCCAACTCCGAAAAAAAAAAAACGTGTCAAAACTAAATTGTTGGTGTTTTTTTTTTTTTTTTTGTAAATAAAACATAGTAGATTTATATATTGTAAATTAAAGTGTTAAACAGAGTAAATTTATGTGGCTAGGCAGTTTAGATGGAAAAAAGTAGAGCATTAAAACTGCATTGCATGATAGAAATGTTATAGAGATTAAAACAAATGTTTTCATTATCATGGGTGATAGCTGAATTCCCAACTTCCCTCTAATGGTGTTTTCTCATTCTTGTTCCATACTGCAGAGACAGGCCCTTAAAACGTTAGAATTAAGTGACTACAAAAGTTTCAATCCCCCAGTTACATTGTCAACCATGTCAGCCGGTCCTGCACATACATGGACACAACACAATCAGATGATAAAATCTAACAATAATTGATTGTCGTGGGTGTGGGCGTGGCTGGTAAAGAAAACATGGCTTTCTGCCCAATATACTAGTGAGTACTATTGATTACGGGGATGAGCCATATATTGGAACTCCAAATAGTTTAGTACCCCAAGTGGGTTATTATTAAGGATTGGGAAACCTACCAAGTATAGCCATCACTGTCCTCGAGTCTGCAAATAATAAACACAGGAAAGAGTCAGTAAGCAACTTTGCTGCAGTAAAATCCGTAGTAGACGAGGTAGTGTAATGGTGAAACAAAATTCAAACTATTAAAAATTTCATACTATGCAGTCGTTCAAAATTACATTAATCTTTCCCAAGCCTGATTGATTATATTAGAGTAGATAGAAATGTTAATTTTTTAAGACAGTACATACAGCAAGGAGCGTTGAACAGAAGGTGACTGATTTTGGACAAACTTCAGCATCATTCAATTGGAAAACAGAAGAGTAAGGAATTAGTGTCTGCGTGATATTCTTCTCTTTGTCAATATACCTGTATTCCTGCGGTCTAGTGGTCAGTCCTAAGGTCTTCAGCATCATTTCATTGGCAAGTAAAATCTTATTATCTAGGCAGTAAATGATCACAAATGCCCTTAACGCTCTAACAGGCATTTAACAAAGAACAAACATATATGCATTCCAGAGTTGTATTCAAGTTATTATGACTGCTCCCAATAGTCCTAAGGTCTACGCATGTAACATGTCAGTCTATTTACCACCTAATGTTAGTACTTTTGTATAAGTAAGACGTTGCTTGAAAAGGAAAGATATCTAGTACAAAAATCTGTGCCTTTCCAATTAATTTAGGCAAGAATACACTGACTTTACCAACAAACACAAGCTTATATTCACCACGAGAAGATGAAGTCACGCTGCCTTAAACACATCTAGGAAGCTACAATGTTTGGTAGAGGGCTAGAGATACCATATAACACGCAATTGGAAACTGTAACAACCATCTTCATTTCAAATTTCTTCTGAAACCAAGAAATTCCCAAGGGCCAACTTTGCGTGGGTCAAAACTCCATCAACAATGAGCTTGCCCCTCTACCACCAACTGAAACAAACCATCTATTTTCAACCTTTCAGGTTTAAGTTATTCTGGATAGCAAGTAACAAGCTCCTTTAGGATAGACCACATATGAAATGAAATCAAGACAACATCTTTTATTTAACCACCAGTCCTCATGTGTGTAAAGAGATGGAAAACAAGACTGATAGTAAAGCAAAGACACGTGTCAACATGTCAAGAAAGGAGGCAATAGTTTACTGGCAGCAGCAATAGTGACATTCAACTTAAGGATTTTGTAGTCATTGGTATCAGGAAACAATAATAAAGCTTAGCACTATTTTGGTGGTAAACAACTTTCTTGTGGAATAGAAAGGAAAAAAGACCAACAAGAAAGAAGACAGGCAACGTGGAAAAGGAGCTGAAGAAACTCTCCAATAAAAGTGAAACATAATCTTTCTGAATCATACATAGAAGCAGGCATAAAAAATAGATCCGCTTAATGTTTAAGTTTCTACAGAGTCATCTGATCTTATACTTTGAGAATACCAGTGTCGCACTAGGAATTGAGGGAATTAAAGGTGGTGTTCTGAAACATGCGATGATAAAGCCTCATGCAATAGGTCATCATTATTGATCACATTCCAAATATGATCGTGCGGGCATGACTGAAAGCTACTATGGATTCCATGAATGATAATGTCGACATGATTGAAAGCTACTATCAATTCCAACTAAAAATAAAAAATAAAAAAAAATATCTCACTTACTTGGTGCAATTTGGGTTCTCCCAGCATCAATTGTAATGTGTGTTGGTATATTAATTGATTTTGCTCTTTCCTGTGATCAAATGAGAAATATTCATAGAATGACCAACCAGAATAGCATGCATAGTTATACACGGCAAATTAAAACAATTAGGACTAAACCAAAGAATAGAAATAGAAGACCACTTGTAGGGGTACAGACTGGAATCAATTATTGAGGATTACATTAAAGAAAAAAATTGTAAAAAATCCACTCTTTGAAATAATGAAATGAGCATTCCATGTCCCCAACGATAGGATTTCCATGTCCTCTTTATCTCCCAGAAAACAAAACTTTCTGGCACCTATCCAAGCATGAGATATTTTACAGCAGTAGCACATAAGCATATCATATCAAAGTAGAGGAGGGAAGTCTCAGCGTCAGGGATGGGAACTTTGTCTCAAGCACCAAGCCAAGCATGAGATCTTTTGAAGCAGTACCACATGAGCAGATCAAAGTGAAGGAGAACATTCTAAGCATTAGGGATGGCAATTTCGTTTTTGTATTTCTCCTGGTTTTTGGAAACCAAAATACTGTTTCTACAAAAGTGCAATCACAGATACCCATCAAAAGTGAAGAAAAAACCTAGACCACCAAAATCAACAAACAAGGCAAAAGCCCATGACAAAAAACAAAGCTACAATGACTACAAGATTGGAAAATAATAATCATAAATATACTACAACCAAGCAACCCTGTGGAGTAAACCACATATATTTCAAGAAAAAACATAACACTTATTGGGACATGATATGTCCTACAAAACTGAGATAATATGTAAACGATACATACTTGCAAAACCAACATATCATCTTCACTTTCAATCTTCACCACCACCTTCACCTGTCCACACATCTCCCATCTGCTAGACAAATATCAACATGACTAACACTTACTATATCAACCAAACTTGAAATGTGTCTTAAAATTACCTATTTAAAGCCTTTGGTGCCCTATTATGAAGCTTCTTGTAGAGACCCAGAGTTGCATGACTAACCAACCAACAAAACAGTTCAACCAAAAGTTAGAAAACATTAGTTGAATATAGCCAACAAATGTAGGAACACCAATTTGTATCGGTACGTAGAAAAATTCAAAAAGAAACTTTAAAAAATACAACAAAACTAAGGGTGCTGACATTTCAGGAAGAGTTTTCCCCAAAAGTACTTTTTAGAAAAGTGTTTTTGAGAAAATTACACTTAGAAGCACTTCTAGAAAGTTTGATTAGACACTAATTGTAGCTCAAAAGTGTTTTTTTAAATTCACAAGTCAAACACAAGCTCCTCTCAACAAAAGTACTTTTTTGAAAAGCAATTTTCAAAATAAACTGATTTTAGAAGCTTGGTCAAATAGGCTATAATTGACTTTGATTCAAAGATCAAATTATCTTTTTGACTCTTGAGCTGAGGGTCTCCCGGAAACAGCCTCTCTACCTCCACGAGGTAGTGGCAAGGTCTGCGTACAATTTACCCTCCCCAGACCCCACCTAGTGGGATCTCACTGGGCATGTTGTTGTTGTTGACTCTTGAATCCAAGGAAATGGAGAGATTGACGATGATGCTACACATCGTATTAGAGCAGGGTGGATTAAATGGAGCCTCGAATCTTGCGTCTTGTGTGATAAGAAGGTTCCACCAAACTTTAAAGTTATGTTTAATAAAGTGGTTATTAGATCAGTTATATTGTATGGGCTGGAACATAGGCCGGTCAAACACTTGCACTTCCAAAGGATGAAATGTTGACATGGATGTGTGGGCATACGAAGAGAGATATAATTATGAACGACAATAACTAAGACAAGTTAGGAGTGGCCTTTGTGGTGGACAAGATGAGGAAAGAAAAGTTGAGATGGTTCGTACATGTACTGGATGCTCCAATGAGAAGGTGTGAAAGCATGGCTATGATAAGTATGAGGAGATGTAGAGGTAGGGCAAAGAAATATTAGAAAGAGGTGATTAGACATGGTATGACGCTCCTTCTCCTTGCCAAGGACATGACCATAAATAGGAGGATTTAGAGAAAGAGGGTAGAAGATTAGTAGGCAGTTGAGTAAGTTTCTTACCAGTATTATTATTATTACAACCCTGTTGTCTTATTCTTTAATTTTATCATTACTTGTTGCCTCTACTTCAGTTAGCATATTATTTGTTGTTGATATTGTTTGTTTCCGATTTATTCATGCTTTTTCAGTATTGTATTCACTTTCCCAAACCTGCTGTGATATGCTTTAATTGAGCGAGGTTGTTGCGGAAAGAGTCTCTTTACCTTCACAAGGTCAGGTCTACGCACACACCAGCTTCCCCAAACCTCACTTGTGGGATTACAATGGGTATGTTATTGTTGTTTATGCACTTACACTGACCGCTATATAAGTAACTTATAAAGATACCTATAAACCAGCAAAGGCAATTAAAATGGCTAAGGAAAGAATTACTCAATTACCTGCATTGTGCAGCTATTTTCCCTTTCCCCATCTTCAAGTCATTCCTGACGACCAAAACCTGCACACAGTAACACAATAATGATTCATCCTTAATCTTGTAAAATGTACTATCATTATGCACTAGCATAAATATTGAGAGAAACCATTTTAAAATCTTCAAGGATGTCAGCCAGCCTTTCTACTTCAAGAGGTTGCTTGGCCCCTTTTCTCTTTTTCCCATCAATTATAGTTTCAGTAACACCAGATGCTCTGTTTGAGAGAAAAGTGGGAGAAGAATGTCGCATCCCAATAATATAACCCAAAGCAAGGCATCCTGCTCCAAGTAACATGGCGCTAAGCCATGCCATGTCAATCATATTCAAAATTGAGACAGGTATGAAGCTGATGAACAATACGTCTGTCCTTGCACCGCACTTACCCAAATAAATAAATCACCAGTGAAGTTGACAACTCCAAAGTGTGTGCGAGGTCAACCTCTAGTATCCTGGAGAGAGAAGAAATGTGTTCTTTTCTGCCTGAAAATTGACTTTTATGCCCAACCAATCTGGAAAATGATAAAGACAAAATGATTAGCAAAGTAAACACATTTTCTTCCATACACACACAGAGATTAATCTTTAATTAAGTTAAAAACTCTTCACAGATCTACATCAATGGGCGTCCTATTGATTCTCACAAATACAAGTAAAATACTTGGGAAAAATCGGTAAACCAGAAGATGAAACAGTGTTTGAATTCCGAGATTTCATACCTGTAAACTGCAGAGATCGCTACTCTCAGTTGTACGTGAGTGCCCAGAACCTCCGGTGTACGACAACGGCGAGAGGGAAAAAAGTTTGAGGCTTTAAGAATGGCCCTACTGCTACTGGTTCGGTTGGAATTTGGAAAAAGAAAAGAGCCAATGCGTTGTTAAAGCTCACTCTCGGGTTTCAGCCCCCAATATTCCCCAATTGCCCTACTTATTTTGTGCTGAACTTCAACTTAATTTAATTTACTTTTTTGCCCAACATAAATTTATATTTTTACATTATTATAATATCTCATACACCCCTTTAAAGAACTTATATCCGTTATTTCTTTTCATTAAGATTAACGCATCTGAATTTTAAGATGTTGTCTCAAGATCGAAACACATAAATGATTAAGATTGTTTGTACGTGCATATGAAATTAAACATCATATCAATAAGACTCCATGTCAACATAGTAATATTATCTTTTGATAGAAAATAATATTTGAATTTTTTTATTTGATTAAAACGAAGTCTATGTTAAGTTATTAGATTGGTTTGTATAGCATGAATATGAGGTTTGAGAAAACTCCTATGATAGACAATTTGTGATCGAGAAATGCTTATTGATTTGTTGGCTGATCTAGCCTACCCATTAGGAATTAACGTTGTTGAGCAATCACATTTACCCATTTTCGGAATTGATAGCCAATTATGCACACTTCTAGAATTATTCTCTCACTTTTCAATTACTTTCCGTTGAGAAAGTCTTGCCTTAGATGTGCCTAATGGCTCTCTATTTATACAAGTAGAGATGTTACATCCGTCTTGCTTTATTTCTATCACTATCACTAAAATCTAATTTGTTAATTTGAAATCTCTAAGGCTTAAATTTATGTTAAACATTGATTCTACAAATTTACAAGAGATTAGCTCACGAATTTTACTTCTTAATTGAACTCTAGTGTATGCCACTCCCTATGGAATTCAACCCCAACCTATTTGATTGGGTTCTTTATGATTGAAGATCGATTGTCTGTTGATTCGTAAAACGTACACTTGAGCATTATCAAAATAGTGTTGCTGCTGTTGGGAGTCTTTTATTAAAGTGATTTTGTGAACTAGTTTTTTGTAGTTGAATACTTTTGACATTGTTTGACTGGTTGTTATCTTTACAAGTGATGGCATGAGAGTCAATGGTAGTGATGATGCGCGCGCCACCATGGCCAAATGGGTTATGGTGGCGATTTGAATGATTTGGGTAGCGTTGGTGCTATCCGCTTATCCCCTATTGTGGGTAATGTGATATTTCATGTTACAAGTACTATGTTGTAATTGCTCCAAATGAGGGGGTTATTTGGAAGGTTGGCTAATTAATACTCGCATGACCATCTCCAAAACTTTATGGATGTATTTGAGCCACACATTCAAAAAATGCACCATAAGAGTCCATCCGGTTGCGACTGTTCCCATTTTCCTTGACGGGTGAAGCTATAAAGTGGTTAACAAAGTTTCCAAGAGATTCAATTGCTTTATCAAAGGAGTTAACGTAGGCATTTCTTGAGAGATTCTTTCCTCTGTCTAAACTATGGAAGCTTCAAGATGGATTTCAAAACTTTTGTCGGGTTGACGATGAGCAAATTCAGGAAACATGGTTGAGGTTTCAGAAGAAGCTGTTGTAATGTTCTACTCATGGATTCACAAATAAGACTTTTTAAACATTGAAATTTTGTGGGACTCTACAAGATGTGGTCAATTCGAGCTGGGACTCTACAAGGTGTGTTCAATTTTAATTAGGATTCTTGGAAGCTACTCAACTCTAAACCCTAGTTCATGTCTATATAAAGGGTACTATATTCCCTTTAAAGGCATCTCGAATATTCCACAAATCATGTAGTATTCATAAAGAGATCAAATCCAAACCATCCCAGTTTGAGAAAGACGCCACTAACAACCCTTAAATCATGGATAAATCTTATGAGAGAAGAATCAAGGGAGGAACCGAATTGTACTCACAATCTTGATCAATAAAATTATGTTTCTTCATATTTTACTTGTTATTGCAATTTATTTTTCATCACTTTAAAAATGTTTGCAAACAAATTGGCACGCCTAGTGGGATCAAATCTATTATTTATCTCTTCCTTCACGAATCAAATATGCAAATCTGAAGTCACAAAAATGTAGAGGTGGAAGAATGAGTACTTCAAGTCTCATCTTTGAGTTTCTTCAAGTCTCGACTTTGAGTTTCTTCAAGTCTACACTCTAACAAGCCTTGAAGCAGAGGACATAGACATTGAAATTGTGTGGGACTCTACAAGATGTGTTCAATTCGAATTGGGACTCTAAAAGGTGTGTTCAATTCCAATTAGGATTCTTGGAGGGTACTCAATCCTAAACCCTAGTTCATGCCTATATAAATGGTACTATATTCCCTTAAAAGGAATCTCGAGTATTTCACAAATTAATAGAATATTCATAAAGAGGTCAAATCCAAATCATACTGGTTCGAGAAATATGCCACTAACGACCCTCAAATCATGGATAAATCTTATGAAAGAAAAATCAAGAGAGGAACAAAATTGTACTCACAATCTTGATAAATAAAATAATGTTTCTTCATATTTTATTTGTGATTGCCATTTATTTTCTATCACTTTTAAAATTTGTTGCAAACAAATGCTTTCGCAAAATTTTTATCGAAGTCTTTATACAGTGAATAAAGGGGCTGCCGACCAACTCATTCGTGGTGGAATTATGAGACATCCATTTATAGTGGCTTCTACTTTGCTTGATGAGTTGACAATGATCAATTGTTCTTGGCACACAAGGAAAGATCAAGTATTGGCCCTTACTATTTGTATGACTAAAGAGAAAGTGGAGAAGGACCAAGAATGTGATGAAAACGTGGAAAAAATTATGATGTAGTTAGATCTTTTATCGAAACATGTGATGGGTTGTAGTTTCAAGAAGGTGAATGCGGTTGGAACAAGTTATGGATTTTGTTCGGAAGAAGAAAAATTTGAGGTTATGTATAACGAAGAGGTACAATTTCTAAGCAATCAAGGGGGAGGTTCTTGTTCGATCTATCAGAGGTCGGGCAAGAATCAATGTTGGACTAAAAACCGTGAAGGCGGTTGGAGAGATAAAGATTGGCATGATTGAAAATCCAATTAGAGAGAGTGTGAAGGTTGGTGGGATCGGTATGTGCCACCACATGACCGACCAATACCCAAGGAACCAAAGTTGATCCGAAGAGTTTCCTAAGTGAAGATATGATTGAACGGATTCTTAACAAGATCGAAGGTTTGGAAAAGTTACTCAAAGAGATGAAGACATATTTCTCATCCTTGAACCAACTGTCAACTCACAGTCGATCTCTATAAAGCAACTTGAGGCTCAAATGAGTCTAATCTGGACTCATTGGAACCCTCGACCAAAGCGTGGTTTACCTAGTGACACAGTCGCAAACCTAAAGAATAATGCTTATGTCTTGGCAATTATTAACCGAAATGGTAGAGTATTGAATAATAATTCTATGAATGAAGGAGATTGCACTAAGAAGATGATTGATGATGATGAGTCACAGGTGGAAGCACGTATTGATGAGCCAGAGGTTGTTGCTAAGAATGCTAATAGTGATAATCTCAATAGTGATTATGATGCTAATTTGGGGGTGTTGTGGCAACTCCACCAGTAAAGGTGTGTGAATGTTCAAGTTCCAATAAAAGTTACCCCTTATTTTCCTCAACGTTTGAAGAAGAAAGAGTGTGATGCTAAGTTTAAAAAATTCTTAAGCATGTTCAAGAGCTAGTTGGTAAACATTCCCTTAGTTGATGCTTTGCTTTAAATGTCGGGTTATGCTAAATTCACGAAAGATTTGGTCACCAAAAAGATAAGAATGGAATTTGAGACTATTGAAGTCTCTCACAATTATAGTGTCATAATGTCGAGTAATGTGATTATAAAGAAAGATGATCCGGGAGCTTTCACCATACCTTGTAGTATTGGGGTATATCAATTCACTAAATCACTTTGTGTTTTGGGTGCAAGTATCAATTTGATGTCCTAACAATCTTTAAAAATATTGGTCTAGATGCTCAACAATGTGACTATTGATGGAGGATCGGTCTATCAAAGGACCGATAGGTGTGCTTTATGATATCTTGGTAAAGGTGGATAAATTTATTTTCCCCGCTGATTTTTTTGTGTTGGATTGTGAGATTGATGTGGAGATCCCAATTATTCTAGGTAGGCCTTTCTTGGCTACCGGGAGGGCCTTAGTTGATGTTGAAAGTGGATTATTGAAGTTCCAGGCGAACAATGAAGATGTTAATATTAATATGTGAAAGTCTAAGAAACACCTTAGTGATATGGATGTCGTGTCGTGTGTGGATGTCATTGATGAGGTTGTAGCAAGTTAATATGAGATTTCTAATATTGATGAATCATTAGCCGTTGTTTTGCTTAATTCTGATGATGAAGAGATTTATGATTATGAGGAAGTTGTGGCAACTCTTATGGGTTCAGGTTCTTTCTCATACAATCTCAAGAAGCTAGATATTTATTTGAAGAATCGAGAAAATCTTTCGGCCAAGACATCGGTTGAAGAGCCACCAAAGTTAGAGTTAAAAGCTTTTCCCTCTCACCTTCATTATATATTTTTGAGAAGTGAAAATACCTTGCTGGTGATTGTAGCCAATGATTTGTTGGATAGGAAAGTTTTGGACTTGAGTGGGGTGCTAAACAAGTTCATCAACACTTTGGGTCGGTCGATTTTTGGTATTGTTCGGATTCCACCCAGCATTTGCACACATAAAATCCAACTATCTGAACATTGTAAGTTGAGTATAGAGTACCAAAGGAGGTTGAACCCTTATATGCAAGCGATCGTAAAGAAAGAAATTATCAAGTGGCTTGATGTGGGTGCTGTGTATCCTATTGTGGATAGCAAATGGGCTGGCTCGGTGCAATGTGTTCCAAAAAAGGGAGCATGACAGTCAAACTAAATGAAAAAATGAGCTTCTTGTTACTAGACCCATTACCAGATGGCGAGTGCGCATGGACTATCGTAAGCTAAACACTTGGAGTAAGAAAGATCACTTTTTGATGCCTTTCAATGACCATATGCTCGATCGATAGAGGTTGGTATTACTTCTTGGACGAATACTCGGGGTATAATCAAATCTTCACTGCCTTGGAGGACCAAGAGAAAATAGTGTTTACATGTCCCTATAGTACATTTGCATTTAAAAGGATACCTTTTGGATTGTGTAATGCTCCGGTAACTTTCCAACGATGTATGTCATCAATCTTTTTGGATATGGTAGAAGATTAAATGGAGGTGTTCATAGATGATTTCTCTTTGGTTGGTGACTCATTTGAGGATTCCTTTGGTCATTTGAGCAAAGTTTTGCAATGGTGTGTTGAAACCAACCTTGTCCTTGATCGGGAGAAATGTCACTTCATGGTAAAAGAGGAAATAGTGATTTGCCCCAATACCTTGGGAAAGGGGATTCAAGTAGATCAAGAGAAGGTTGATGTCATTGCAAGATTCCAACCTCTGATCTAGGTAAAGAGGGTCCATAGTTTCTTAGGTCACGTGGGGGTTCTATAGGCAGTTTATCAAAGATTTCTCTATAGTGTCTCTTCCATTGTGCAAGTTGTTGGAGAAAGAAAGTGTGTTTGATTTTGATGCAGCTTGTGTGAAGGTATTCTCTTGTCTTAAAGAGAAGCTCATTTCGACTTTGACTATTGTGGCTCCATATTGGAGTCTTCAATTTAGACTCGTGTGTGATGATAGCAGGTTGGCTCTAGGTGTTGTTCTTGGCCAAAGGAAAAACAAACTATTTCACCTGGATTACTATGCTAGCAACACATTGAATGGGCCCAAAGAAATTACAGAACAAGAATTATTTGTTGTTGTTTATGCATTCGAGAAGTTCATGGCCTATCTTCTAGGTACCAAAGTGGTCGTGCACACAGACCATGCTACAATTAGGCATCTAATGGCCAAGAAAGAAGCGAAACAGAGATTGATCTTATGGGTACTACTATACCAAGAGTTCAACTTTGAGGTCAAGGACCAAAAAGGCTCTAAAAATTAAGTGGAAGACCATTTGTGGCACCTTAAATCTAATGTGGTGTTGGCTGATGAAAGGGACAATGAAAAGTCCTTTCCAAACGAGTTGGTGATGGCAATTTCTGATGTTGCTAGTATGTTGATTATGCTAATTATGTTGTATGTGGGATCAATCCTGAAGGGATGCGTGGGTATAAATTGAAGAAGTTTCTTTTTGATGTGAAAAGGTTATTTTTGGGATGAACCGTATTTGTTTAGAGAGTGTGTTGATCACATAATCTGAAGGTGTATTTCGAAAGTTGATGTGAAGGCCATCCTTGAAGCTTGCCATGCATCACCGATAGGTGGGCATTATGGTGGGGTTCATAAAACGTCTAACGTGCTCCAAAGTGGATATTATTAGCCATCCTTATATGAAGATGCTAACATGTTCTCCAAGGTATGCACATAATGTCAAAAGCAAGGAAGTATTTCCTGAAGGCATGAACTTCTCCTTACTCCAATCCTTGATGTAGAACTATTTTATGTTTGGGGATTAGACTTCATGGGGCCATTCATGAGTTCATTTGGGAACAAGTATATTCTTGGGGCTGTTAATTACATGTCAAAGTGTATAGAAACGGTGGTTTTCCCTACTAATGAGGGGAGATGTGTCAGTCAATAGCTCAAAGAGGTACATTATAAGAGGTTTGGCACTCCCCACGCCATCATTAGCAATGGAGGTTTCCATTGTTGTAATCGACAATTTGAATCACTATTGTGCAAGTATGAGGTGAAGCACAAGGTCACAACGCCTTATCAGTAGCAAACTAGTGGTCAATTGAGGTGTCGAATTAAGAAATTAAAGGCATATTGGGAAAGACTATGAATGCAAGCCGGACCGATTGGTCAAGAAACCTTGAGGATGCTATGTACGAATGTTGATAAACCTTCAAGACCTCCATTGGCATCTTGCTATATCAATTTATCTTTGGTAAATCATGTCACTTGTCGGTAGAACTTGAACACAAAATGTTGTGGGCTTTGAAAACAATGAACTTGAATTCGGATGTTACTTGTAAAGGACACATTGATCAACTTCACGATTTAGAAGAATTTTTGTTAAGGGCATTTGAGAGTTTAGAGTTATATAAGTATAAATGAAGAGATAGCATGACATCAAAATCTTACAACTGGAGTTTCGAGTAGGTGATTTCATGTTGCATTTTAACTCTTGATTGAGACTTTTCCCGGGACAACTGAAATAAAAATTGTCAGGACCTTTTAAGGTGACTCATATGTTTGAAAATTGAGCAATAAAGATGGAGAGTGAAGATGTAACACCCCATATCCGAAATAGGGAAATAAAACCAATTTCCAAAAGTTGCAGTTGCAACCCACGTCGGCCACCCACGACCCGTAAAAGGGACCACAAATCGTAGGTGTGGTCTGTGGTTTGCCTGCCTAAAAGTGGTCTGAGGGCTCAGGACCACGGCCTGACCTACGGACCATAGGCCAGACCACGGTCCGTGGTTAGAGACCCAAAATCCTAGTCCTAGATGACCAACGATGATCCACCAGGACGGGCCGTAGGTCAGACCACTATCCGTCGACTAGGGTCCATTGGTGGTAAGCTGGCAGTTAAGTTCACGGGTAGTAGGGTCTTTTCATAATTAATTAGTTCCTATACTATGTCGTTTTACCGTTCACTAATACCCCTATATAAGTATTTTCAACCCCCAAATTAGTCCATTCACTTCATTCTTCCAAAATCACAAAAGAAGAACTCTTCAAAATATTTCTCATTCTAGAAACTTGAAGAAGAAGAAGAAGGATTCAACCTAGGGTTTCAAGGCAAGTCTCAATTCCTCCAATGAAGGCTAGCATTTGGATTCAAGGTATGATAGTTTTCATCCATGGATTCCTTCCATCCATGGAGTTCCCGAATTCCTTTATTTCTAAAGGTAGAATTCCCCAATTGAGTTAGGGTTTCCTTCAATTACCATGGGTTCTTTTGATTATTAATTTACACGATTGCATTATGATCTCTCATGCATGAATTGATGAAATACTATGATTTTATGATGAATTCCCCCATGAACCCATGTAATCCCTATGTTTTCAAGTTATGAACCATATTATAAGGGATTTTGATATTAAAAGAAGAGTTTTATGAAATTAAACATGTAATGCAAGCTTTACCTGAATTATGATGAAATCCATATCTAACTCATGTTTTCTAAGCATTGATGATTAAAAATGGGTTTTGAACCTCAAGAGGTAAGTTATGGACTTATGCATTTTGTTATGAAATCTATGCAAATGTTTTAAGGGTGCTTTGAGAATAAAGTACCAATGATGATGTTGTTGTTAGGTTGTTGAAATGATATTCTCATAAACGCATACTAGAATGATGTGAAATATTTTCTCACATAGTAAGGATTCTTAGGTTGAAAGGCTTTCTCACCTAATTGAATCAAAGATTAAAAGCTATTATAAAAGGATCATGGACGGTGAAATGTTTTCTCACACATGGTCTAAGAAGCTATCCTGATGAATCTAGTTTGGATTGGTTATGCTAGGGTACCTTTCCATGAATAATAAGGGCAAGTAAGAAATGACTATTCCGTGAGATTTATGCTTAGCACCGAGAGGATATTGATAATGAGATGTATGCTCTCCCGTAGTAGAGGTCGGGTTTCTAGAAGCAATCTTATGAGATGCAAGCTCTCTGTTATTAGAGGTTGGGTTTCTAGTAGCAATATCCTTATCCCTTAAGTATGTGCCCCCATAGGTTGATTAGCTAGTGAATCCACTTAAGCTAGAAGTTCATGGTTCTACCTTGGCAAGTAGGACAATCCTTTTCAGTGTGGGAGACACTGGGGATCATGTTATAGCTCATATGGTCTCTATGTCTGTTAAGACTAATTCCCCACATTAATAATGAACTAAGGTTACTTCAAGAAGTATCGCATATGAGTTCAAAGGTTTTAAAGATGATGTTAGCTTGCATTGACCTTGGTTTTATGACTTATGTTTTCTAACTCTCTTATATTATGTTTTAGCTTAGTCAATTGCATGTCATAAAATGAAATGTCCCTTTTAGCATGATTTAAATGTGTTTATGCATGGCTATCATACTTGGTACATTGTTTTGTACTATCGCATACTCTTGCCTACATTTCCCCAAATGTAGGGTTAGACAGACAGGTTTACGAGTTTCGTGGCTATTAATTGAGTTTGAGATTTTCGAGCTTTGGTGAGTCCTCATGCTTCAAGGACGGAGTTTATTATTTCAGTTTCTTTCATGGATTTTCTCTTTTGAACATGATGTATGGCCTAGGCTCAATTTCATTCTATTGTATTAGATGGCTATGATGAGACAAAGTGTTTAGACTTTCGCTTTTTTTTTTATAAAAATGTTTTGGACTTGGACTATTGTTTTACTCTTATTGTTCTATTTCTTATATTATGAGAGCTAAGTTGCTTGTATGGGGTCCTTCGGGGTTCTATATGCCATGCTACATCTAGGGGGTACCCTTGGTTCATGACAGAAGGTGGATTTAAGTTCAAAGTCAATAGGCACAGATTGAAATTGTACTTCGAGAAAGGTCCTTGTGTTTGGTTGATCGAAGCTGTGTATTTGGATAGTGCTTGAAAGCATGTCCATGTCGTACCATAAAGTAAACTGGGTGTTTCTTAGGTAGGAACCCAATTTTTTTGTCGTTTTCAATAATGTGTTGATTATGTAGGTTGAAGTGAAGTACCAAAGTGAGAGGAAAATTGGCAGGCAGATGGCAGAGTCAGCGTGTCACCAAGTGGGATTGGTAAGCCCGTCTTGGCTCTCCTTTTCTAAGTAAAAAATTAGTAGGAGTTATAATTTTTGGCGAGGAAATAGCATTTTGGCGAGCTCACTGTTCTTGAAGATAAAAACTATACAAGGCTTATATGATTTTGGCGAGTGAATCTCTTTTTGACGAGTCTCTGAATTAGTTTGACAGCCTCTATCGTGCTCGTCGAATTGACTTTCACATTTTTCATTTATCTCAGGTGTCTTTGATGAGCTCAATCTATATTAGTGAGTCAACAAATAGGTCGGTGGTATTAGTCACACCATGCCGAAAAAGTCACCAAGCGAAGAAATAAGGGTCTTTTGAACATTTAAATGTCGATCTTTCAAACTTTTTTTTATATTTATTCTTCCTAGCTTTCATGTAAGCTCTTTTAAGTTTTATCATAATATCACAACGGTGGTCAAGCTTGGGTTGGATTCTACTTGTGTCAAACTCTTCATCTCATTTGTGTCTCGTGTTTGCAATTTAGAGGTCAGTTTTTCTTGTTTATTTTTCACATCTATTGCTAAGAATTCATATGATCATTGTATAAATAGATGAGAGGTTTGTTATTTTGTGAATATTTGCCTTGAATAACTGATGAAAGCCCATTTTGGTGCTAACTGAGTAACCTTTTTGTTTTTAATTTTCGAAATTGTTCATGTTAGGCTTTATCATGTGGGTGTTGGATTGGTTATTTTGAAATCAATTGATGTTTATTATTGGATCTTTTTATTTTTGGTGTGTGGGTAAAGTTTGAGTATCCCAAACTTGATAAACAAGTTGATTTGGCCCAATGATAGATTGGGTGACGTTATTATTAAGGAAAAATCATCATTTTGTTGTTTTGTGATTGAATTGAGGAGAATTCTAAGTACTCGGGGTGATTTTGTGCTATAGGTAGCCTGGGCTTTGTGTCAATTGTGTTAACTTTGATTGTTGTTGACAGTTTGAAAGTAGGGCTAAAAGGATGAGATTTACCTGTTCGGTGAGCTTGGTCAAGCTCACCAAGGTAACTTGGCATATTGCTATTACTATTTTAGATTGCCTTTTTGTTATGAAATCTTGCCAATTTCCCTATATGTTTTAGCGAGCTACTTGTAGTTCGCCGAATGTCTTCAACGAATTGGCGAAAGTGAACTAAGCTCGCCCTTTTGTCTTGAGAAACCTGTGGAAATCTTTGAATCTTTTGGTGAGCTCGTCTGAGCTTGCCAAACTTATTTAGTGAGTCACCTACTCATTTAGTAAGCCTCAAGACGGTTTTTTTTTGGGTAAATTTTTTAATGATTTTTAGCTAATCCTTCACCCAATATATGGTTCTTATGTTGTCTAATGCAGTTATGGCTTGTCCTAACATCCTAGTACGAAGGAAATCTCAGGATGATTCTCAACCCCAGAGAAGGAAAAAGGGAATCACCATTTATGAACATTGTGATCATGCACAACCCATTCAACGCATACCTAAGCATGTGTATGAAAGAGCCAAGAAGAAGGCTGCTGCAACTCCGAGAAACACCTGAAAGAGGAAACATGTTGACAATGCTGATGAAGGATCTACTTTTAAATTTAAACCTCGTAATGTCTCATGGATGGATATTGATGAAAACAAAGAAGAAGTTAAGGGCTCTACTACCCAGTCCATAGGACAAATGTAGAGGCTCAAGCTACCGAGAGAAGGCAAACTGAAATACACTCCAAGGACCTACATGATCCATTGGCCAACTTGGTTCCCCGAGTTTTCTCGGTAGTTGCTGCTCGTGATATGAATAGGTTTAAGGTTTCTAGGCTGTAAACTATATTATTAGAAAATAGCTTTTCGATCGATGAGGTAGTAGATAGATACTCGACTATGTGAGATACTATTTGGTTCCATGGCTAAGAGAGATTCACCTAAGCCTGATAGCCTTATGTTCCTACTTGGCTGATGGAGTTTTATGAGGCTTATGCTTGTCTACAACCAAAGAAATGAAAAAGGGTTATTTATGAGTCATTCTCAACTGCTGAGGTTTGTGGGAAAATTGTTAGATGTGGGGTCATGGAGATAAATAAAGTCCTTGGTTGTGTTTTGATACATCGTAGTGAGTTGGAGGACAAGTTTCTATAGTCGTTAAATAGTTTGAATGGGTTGCTTTCCCCACTATTTTCTGATGATACACCTCCATGGATTGAGGAGGGAGTTGAGTTAGAAAAGAAGGATATCAATATAATGGCTTGGTTTTGGTTTAGATTTAGAGCACATTGATGTTGTCCTATAATGAGTCCATCCTATGACATGCCAAAACTACTTTGTTGGGGTGCATAATTTATAGACAACAATTGAATTTGGGATCTATCATTGTTTCGTAGATTCTTTTTAGGGCAAGGCATCAAACCTCATTGCCATTTCCCATCTTTATCACTATCGTATTTCCTATAGATGGGGTTCCATTTATTGAGGCAGCTTAATCTAGAGTTACTACAGCCTAATCTAGTGACATGTAGAGGATTGAGACTGGTTTCTTGAGTGATGATGCAGCTAGAAGGAAACCGACACTGGTTGACACTACTGCAGTTATAGAATTGGAGAATTTGGGGGTCGACACTGCACCTTCTGCTCCTCCTATGGAGCCTTCAGGTACCCCCTACACTTTTTGCCTTTATTGTACCTACTACCACATACCTACTTCTATTGACTCAGGTCATGCTTTACCAAATGTGCAATCTTGCACATTCAGGTGGATTTGCATGCCTCTTATCTTGAGAGAGATGTCCCAATTTTGATCTCTGCAGCCATTGATGCTTTCCTTGCTCCTATGCGGGTTGAGATGGCGGGATAATGGACTTGGGTGAAAGATTATGGTCTTAGACTTGATACCCTCATCGCTCGGGTTGAGGATTGTGAGAAAGTTAGGAGGAGTTCTATGGAGTTGATAACCGTAAAGGCTGAAATTGTTGGTTTGAGGAAAGATATTGATAATCTCAATTCCATGGACATATCTTTGTTATGTGGTGATGTGACTATACATGATGTTCCGATGACTGTGCCTCCCTTAACCTCAATTGTGAGTGATGTTGGGCCTTCAGTTGAGGTTGCACCTAGTGTTGCTGATGAGGACCCTGATACTCTGGAGATTGATGAATATGAGTTTGCTAGGACTGAGCTACAGAGTGTCGACACTTATGTTGAATTGGCAGACTTGGAGGACACATTTTTGCAGGTTGCTATAGAGAACTCCCTTTGAGACACTTCTACCATTGTATCAAGTGGGACCCATCCTCCAGATCTTACCCATCCTATTGATGCACCGGGTATTGATGCCCATTTGGAGGCTGCCCCATCCAACGAAAGTCCTCCCTAGGTCTAGCCTGATATGGGGATCCTTCTCCTCTCTTTATCTTATGTTTTTATTTTATTTTATTCCAATTGACGACACTACTTGTTTCTTCTTGGTAGGTTGAGGGTACTCGTTAGTTCCTAGCCCTATTTGTTGTATTTTGTTATTTAAGACATTGGTTTGATTTCTTTTGGGTTGTATTCATATTTTCTTTATTTTGTTTAGTAGTATAATTATTAATTGTTGATGATTCATTTCTCTCCTTCTCATTTGTTCGAAAGTTGGTTGTTGATTGACGTTGAAAGAGCTTGAATGCTTATCTTGAACAGTTGAGTGTCAATCATGAACAGTAACGATGACTTAAATAGTGGTTTTGATGAGAGTGTTCTTGTGTAGTGCAAAGAGGTAATTCAAGCTGCATAGTTCTTGCGTGAACTTTAAAATCTTGTTGTGACTAACTGAATATCGACTGTGAGACTTGCAATGATCTATGCACACAAGCTTGGATTGTAGAGTTGTGATCGATGATTGTATTTGAGTGCCATGTGGGGTAATGTTAACTTGAAATGCGTGCTTTGTGAATACCTAGAACCTGCATGTTTGGTTTGATTAGTTGGTATTGGTGAATGTGAGAAATGACCTTAGGCATCATTTTTTAGAGAACCAGTTTTTAATGAATTTAAAAGAAATTGTATTGACAACTACTTTATATGGAACTTTTTGTGACCACCTTGTGAAAGTGTGAACAAAGCTTGACACCATTTGAGCCTAACCCTTTTCTTTGGAAACAATATGAGCCTCAAAGCATAAATCGATTGTGGAATATGTCATCCCTTTCTCACCCATAATCTTCTTGAAGCATTTGTTTGTATGAATAGGCAACTTAGGAGAGAAGGTAAGACGAAAGAACCCGAGTGAGAATATCATGAGAACTCATCCTAGTACTGGCATGCCAAAAAGATGGAATCCTCCATATAAAAATGAAAAAGAAATAAAAAAGAGAAAAAGAAATGAAATAGTCTTGTTCTATGAATGATGCTTTGGTTGTTTACATTTTTTGATTTAATAAATGGTGTGTCGAATGAGATAAACAAGAAAAGGAGTGTTTATAAAAGAATAAGGATTAGTTGTGAGTACAGAAATGATGAAAGAAAAGTAATACATGTGAAATTGGAAAAATGCTTCAAGAAGGTAGAGTCACTAAACCAAAAATAATCATACCTTTACCTTCCATTACAAGCCTTGAAAGAGCTTTATGATCTTGCCAAAGACAATTGATATGTGGTTGGAAAATATGGGCAAACCAATGGGTTGAAGCATGTATGTTCTTTTATTTGGGAGTATAAGAGCTCATTTTGATTCCTAAAATCTAGTTCTTGATTCTCTTTGTGAGAGCATGAAATCATTCTTGATGTGAGGACACTTGTGTACTTTTGTTGAGCACATCTATGCATTTGATGTGAGCATGCGCTTTGATTGATAATGACTAGTCAGCACTTGATGTTTTTTGGTTAATAATTGGAAATTACATGTTTTGGAAGAAGCCTTGTGATATCCCTTGAATATTGGCTCTCAAGAAGCATTTTTTGTAGACATTTGTTGAACAAATTGATATCTTGATTTACTTTAGGACAAGTAGAGGTTTAAGTTGGGGTTGTTGATGAGTCGGAAATTTTGGACTCATTTAAGGTTTTTAGCTCACCAAATAGTGTCCTCAATGCCATTTTATGTCCATTTTTTAATCCTAAATTGTTTAATTGCATCTATGAAGGCTTAAGGACGGAGAAAGGATAATTATATGCGAAAAGAAGCCAAAGCGTAGAAATATAAAGAAAAAGACAAAGCTGAAACTCGCCAAGTGCGAGAGGTGATTCGCCAAGTGTGAATGTTGAGTTGCCAAAAGGGAAGGACCTCGCTAAAAAATACTGAGTGTAACACCTCAGAAATTGGAAAATAGATTAAAAAGGGAAAAGTTTAGATTTTGGTATTGGTACAGGAACTATAGTTGTATCTGTGGACCGTAGGAAGTCCTACAGGCCAAAGGAATAAAGTTGTAGAGTTGAGTTGAGTTTTTGGAAATATTGAATCCCTAATATTGGACCTACGAGTAAATAGGATGGGTCATTGTTTGGACTACGGGTCGTAAATGAGTTTCGTAAAAGGGTCTCAGACTTGGTGAATTTTTGTGCTTAAAATTGGATTCTATGAGTAGGCTCTACGAGCTATAGGAAGTTGAACGGACCATAGGAAGATCTCGTGGGAAATGAATGAAGTTTGGATTTCTGAAGTTGGTTTTGCGATTGAGTAGTACGAACCGTAGACAGACTATATATCACTTCCGACAATTAATTATTTAGGGTATTTGGGTCTTTTTCTATTCATTTATTACCTATACTATGTGGTTTTGACCCTAATTTTAAGACCTATAAATACCCTTCAACTCCTAAATCTACCCAAAACTCTTTCATTCTCTCAAAACCCCAAATTCCATCAAAATTCATTCTCTCCAAATCATCTCAAGCTTCAAGGAAGAAAAATATAGGGTTCAAGCTTCAAGTCTCTCTTTTCTCACATAGTATGAAATCATGGTTGTTAAAGGTTCTCTCACATAGTATGAAATCATGGTTGTGAAAGATTTTCTCATATATATTGAATTGTGGTTTAAAGAAGGTAATTTATAATGACTTTATGATAGAATTGGTAGTTAAATGGCGCCTTTCCAAATATGATGGTATGAATATTTTTATGAATAATTTCATTGGAATTTTACTTAGCACTGAGAGGATATTGAGATGAAGGCTCTCCTGTTAGTAGAGGTCAGGTCTCTAATAGCAATCTCTGTGTCCCTAACTACGTTCCCCCGTAGGATTGGTCTTAAGTGACATAGCTAGTGGATCCACCTAATCTAGAAGTTTAGCGTCCTTACCTTGGCAAGTAGGACATCTCTTTTTGGTGTGGCAGCAAGACACCAAATTCCATATTATAGCTCACATGGTCTATGTCAGTTATTGGTAAACATCCCATAAAACGAACTAAGTTACTTTGATCGATTTTATGAAAAGCTTTCATTATGTTTTAAGATGCATTGACCATTTCATTATTTATGATTTATCTTTAAAGGCTTTACAAAGATATTTTTTGGTCATGCATATCATGCTTAAATGTTCTCATACTGTCACGTTTATGTTTTTGTGCATTTCCCTCATACTAAGTATATTCCATGTAATAATGCATACTTGTGCCTACATTATTTAATAATGTAGGATCTGACGTTTTCTTCTCCCGCTTGTGGCTAGTTGATTAATTGATCATTGAAGACTTGGTGCATCACGACCCAATGTACACCCTAGACGTGACATGGCATATAAGATCCTGAGAGGCCCTACATAAGACACTTAGCATACATTATACAAGATAATAGAATAGAAATAGTTCAAAATACAGTTTATATCATAAATAATTTGACAAAATCGTAGTGAAAGTCTTACATAGTCTCAAAGCCATCTATTACATCAAAGAGTGATTGGGACGTAATCCATACATCACATACAATATGTGAAAGTTAAGAAAATAAACAATAAAGAGTACGGTGCTTGGAATATGAGGACTCACCAATCTTCAGAAGCTACTAAGGTAATCACTAGCCACGAGGGTGCAGAATAGGAGCGGTGGACCCTACATTAGCGAAACAACGTTGGAAAGAGTATGTGATAGTACATAGATTGTACCAAGTATGATAGAAATGCATATGAGTTCATGAAATCATGCTAAAAGGACTTTTCATGACATGCAATGACCAAATTCAAACATAAGATAAAAGGTTGGAAAACATAATCCTGATCTTTGTAAATGCAAGTTAAATCATCTTTAAACAAACGAGATATACTTCTAGAAGTAACCTTATTTCATTATTATGGGAAGTAGCCATTATCTAGCATATAGACCATGTGAGCTATAATATGGAATCCGGTGTTTATACCATACGGAAAAGAGATGTCCTTACTTGCCAAGGTAAGAACCATAAACTCTAGCTTAAGTGGATCTACCATCTAATGTCTATCTAAGACAAACTTATGGTGACACATAGTTTATGGGACATGGGTAATCGCTTCTTTTCCACTCGGTTCTAAGCATAAATCCCATAGAAAAGTCATTAGTCTTAACTTTTCTTATCACTAAGAGACATGGGTAATCGACACTTGTATTAATAATGGAAGGCACATCAAGTAGCCAATCCAAGCTAGGTTTTATTAGAATAGCTCCTAAATCTTGATTCAAAATTTAGTTGAGAAAACCTTTTAACTTGAAGAATCCTTTATGTGAGAAACCCTTTAAGATTCATGTATTGAGTAGTATGTGAGATATCCTTTCACAACAACAACAACAACAACTTTACTCCCAAAGCGACCTTAAATCATTGTTATCAATTTCATAAAGAAAGATGCATATCTTCATAAATTCATCTTTTATAGTTCAAAACCCACATTATATCAACATAATTT